TTTAAAAATGAGTTTAAGTTAGTCGAATTCCTTGAATACTTTTCTCTGATTTTAACTATTTTTTCCAAAAACCTAATTCTCCTTAAACTATAGCTAAAAGCACAATTTATAAATTAATTTAGGTGTGCCAAAATAGTCATTAAAAATTTTTCTCTTTAAAAAAGGTTTTACTAAATACTTATTACCCACGAAAAGATAGAAGAAAAAGAAATTTCTTCAAAATATAAAAGTATCCGAAATTTGAATACAAACATCAAAGTAGGACCCGCTGATGCTACTAATGATTCTGTATGTTTGGCAGAAAATTGTAAAATAAATAGAATTCATACTATTTATAGTTACAAATAAGCTATACGACTAAATAATTACTGTCTGGGACATCGGATTCCCTCTGGAACAAATGTTTTTTACGTCACTTGAAAAAATTGAAAAATAAGTATATTTCCCAAATGTTAGTAAAACACATTTAGAAATGTAGAAGGACGAACTTCATAAGATATAGTTGTAGTAAAAAAATGTTTCCTATTTCCTATTCCACTTTGGCATTATATTTTAGAAACATTCTCACATACGTGAAGCAACACATTCTTAATTTACTCAAGAAGATCTTATATATCAGGCGTCACAGGATCAAATTCTAATTAGAATTTGTATTCATACAAAATGATAACAATTTAAACTGTATTATCTATGCATGCGACATATATTATCTAAACTTGAAATTTTATCAGAGAACCATGAAAACTGATACTTCCAAGTATATTGATCTCCTTTATCTTTCTGCTGTCAATTTGTATTTTTACTTTACAACTATTATCTCATATTACTATTACCTCATACTTCCGTCCAAATACATTGGCAGATTCAATTAATAGAAATTCGACCGCACAATCGGCCTATTTATAAAAACTGTCCACAACATTAACATCACAATCTGTGTGCAACATTTTTACACGCAAATTTCTAGGAAATCTACTTGTAAAATTTCATGTTAATTGTATCAAGATAAATTAATTATACAGGGTGATTTACAAACGGTGACCAAAAATTAAACCTCGTATTCTTTGGTGAATTTTAAGGAGAGTCTTCCGTATAAAGTTTTTATCTAGGACGCTTTGTTAAAATTTAAAAACTAGTAAGTGAAATAATTTGAAATTGGGCACATGTATTTATGTAAACATTGTCCAAAATCTGAGGCCTTTTCCTAAAATTTAGATGCTTCAGTGGCGGAGATACAGGGTATCAGCAGCTTATTTTTCTAAATAACATAGTACGCCACTGATTTACGGTAACAATCATGATATTTTCGTATTCGTTTTTCAATTTTATACAAATTACTTGTTTTTCGAAAAAAGCCTGATTTTCGAGTAAATCTTAAAAAACGAACTGAAAACACTTCTACTTAAATGAAATGACAAACAGTAATCATTCGGTTATTTATTCGAATAAAAAAATTAATGACATTAGTCATAATTTTAATGATTCTTTGAGTAAATGCTCAAAAAGACCTCCATTTTCACGAACACAGGCGCGACATCTTTTTAGTAAATTTATTGTTGCTTGAATTTGATGAAAAGAATTATTTCTTCTTTCCTCTAACTGCTCAAAATATCAAAATTACTATGGCAGCCTAGTATGTAGTTTTAAACCGCATTTTATTCGAATATCGAAGTGTTTTCAGTTCGTTTTTTAAGTTTTACTCGAAAATCGGGCTTTTTTCGAACAACATAAGAGTAGTAATTTGTAGAAAATTAAAAGACGAATCCGAAAATATCATGACTGTTACCGTAAATCAGTGGCGTTCTATTGCATTTAGAAAAATATGAGACTGATACCCTGTATCTCTGCCACTGGAGCATCTAAATTTTAAGAAAATGACTCAGATTTTGGACAATGTTTACATAAATACTTGTGCCCAATTTCACTTACCAGTTTTTAAATTATTTCAAAAAATAAAAAATATTTTTTTAAGTTGAACACCCTGTATGTTTTTAACGTAGCGTCCTAGATAAAAACTTTATACGAAAGATTCACCAACGAATATGAGGTCTCATTTTTGGTCGACGTTTGTGAATCAGTCTGTATACGCACGAAACGAACCAAACCTTGAAAAATTTTACATCAATACACGCAAAACGGAAAAATACCCTGGGCTCGACTTTTTAATTAACATTCAGAATCAGTATAAGTAATATGTAATAGTCCAGTGTTAATTACCTCTCTAGGTGGTAATGAAATAGCCAAATTTATCTTCCAATTTTTTTTTTTTCATAAACTTCGTCCAGTATATACGAGTATAGTTCGCTTGATTCGAGGCTAATGGAAAATTTTATTGACTTGTTGAAAGTAAGACAGTGAAAAGAACATAAATATGTACGACTTTGATGGATATTTATTCCCGAATATAGGTTAATTACTTGCTAATTGTTTTGAATTATTTTTTATCGAGGTTATGCAATATTTACGAGTAAGCTATATACTGAGAATGTACAAAGAATACTACATTTTTCTAGAAATATGGTAAAATTTTCTAGTATCTAAAACCATGTCCTTATTCTTATAATAAAGGTTGTATTTTTGCAACAAAATATTGTTCTGATCATCATTCCTTACAACCGTTTACTTACTGTTTTATCGTTTACTGGATTTTCCAAATCCATTCCTCTTTTATTTTAAAGATGGTGTTTCGAATTGCATAAGTCAAACTTTACTTGTGATAGAACTCCTTAAAATAAGAAAGGTATATCTCATAAATATGAGTTGAGAAATGCTTAAGGGGTTACGTGGATTTGGAAATTTAAAAAAATCCATTTTTAAAAAAATTTTTATCTAATAATTCATGTTAAGAATATTTCCCAAAGTTTCAAATCGTTCCAAATCAATCGGTGTAAAACTTTAAGAGAGAGCCTTTTGAAATTCCTCTCATTAAACGCCGTCTGTTGTGTCCATATACTAAATTTAAATATGATCAGTCTATTTCAATATTTTTTCTTACATAAATTATCGCAAAATTAAAAATAATTCCCATCAAACATAAACATATTATATTTTAATTTTACCTAACCAGGTACGCTAATTATTTTCAAATTTGGAATGTGGGATTAAATTTTAATTATGGGTTTACAAATGGTTTGACATTTTATACGATTAGCCATTTCGCCTACATAGAAAATATTTTTGTATTTTTTAAATAAAAATATTTCTTTTTAACCAAACAACCACAATACCGATTAGTTTTTTTATTTTATTATTTTTTTTATTTAAGCTCAAAAATGGTTTGTTCGACATCTAGAGTTACGACGTTAGAAACACCGTTTTAAACTTCTTGATAAGAATAACTTTTCCAAAAAATGAAACTTACGAAATATTTTAAAGAAATTTTTTGAAAACAAATAGGAGACTTGCTGCAGCACTATGCACTAAATCCAAATGGCGGATTTTTATTTTGATAGCCAAGTAAAAATATCCCACAAAATTATATGGCAAACGAAATAAAAAGTACGTAACATATTAAAATAAAATTTAAGCAAGTTTAGTTAATAAATTGTATAGACTGCAAAGTCGAAAAAAACGGGAAACCTTGAATTTTAAATTCTTTCAGAATTTGCAAAAATATTCGGATTCAGATACTCGAAACAAATTTCAACATAAACACAAACTAAAAAACTGAGCTCAGAAAAAACATTTTTTACAAATTAGTACTTTGAGCAAAAATGATCAGTAACAGGGTTGATCAGAGTCACTTTAAGTCATTAACAAAAGTAATGACACGAATACAGAGAATGTTTCGAAACGTAAAATGTAGAATGTAACAGTAATGATCATTTTGTAGTAAAGAATTATCTACTTTCTCAGTAAAGTGTAGTATGAGATATTTCTGTTGAGGCAAAATTAAATTTACAAAATCGACACTGATCTTTTTGACACAAAGGCCAGGGCCGGATTAACCTATAGTGAGTCCCGGGCAAAAAGATACAGGTTTTTGTTTGATTCTAAAAAAGGTCGCAATCAGGAACTTGTCGATATAAAATTTCAAAACCTAAACACTTGGTTTGATTCTTAAAAAAAAAGCTAAAATTCATTTTGCCAGTTGCTATTTTTAATGTGACAAAAAACCCAATTAAATAGCATAATACACTATCCATTTCAATCTATTTATTTTATTTTTAATTTCACTTGGTCAACCCTACTTTTTTTTCATTCCTAATCCAGAATATTATTAAATACTAAATGGAATATGATGGAGATCCTTATAAAGTCATCATTAGAAAAATAGTTTCTTCAGTGCCAGTTTACTGCGTAGGTAATAACCAGTCCACATAACATTTGCCGTAAACGCGTGATTTTTTGCTGGGCAACTTGAAGTATGTGTTTATAAATACTTAATAAACGCCTAACATATTTAATGAAGATAATTACGTTAATTATACATAAAACAATAATTTCAGTACAAACATTACAGGTCGGTTCATTTCCTNATTATCCACGAAAAGATAGAAGAAAAAGAAATTTGTTCAAAATATAAAAGTATCCGAAATTTGAATACAAACATCAAAGTAGGACCCGCTGATGCTACTAATGATTCTGTATGTTTGGCAGAAAATTGTAAAATAAATAGAATTCATACTATTTATAGTTACAAATAAGCTATACGACTAAATAATTACTGTCTGGGACATCGGATTCCCTCTGGAACAAATGTTTTTTACGTCACTTGAAAAAATTGAAAAATAAGTATATTTCCCAAATGTTAGTAAAACACATTTAGAAATGTAGAAGGACGAACTTCATAAGATATACAGTACAATCTCGATAATATGAACAGAAAAATCCACTCGGACGTTCACACTATCGAGAGTGTTCATAATAAAGGGGGGTGTTAATAAAATGTTATATATCTGTAGCATATGTATATTAAAAAATAATAAGTACATAATATGTACCTATATAGATATTTCATTGTTTTAATATGAATATAGGAAATTTACTCATTTATTCTTTTGAAAAAAGTAGTTATTTTTGTTTGTTCCCTTTTTTGATTTATTTTCGCCATCACAGCTTTTTCGTGGATTCATTTCAAGGTGATTATATCACTAATATGGATCATATTTTGTTTAGACCATTCTATTGTAGTATCCAACGCCTTTATAACTGTAGCATGAGGTATCGTGATAACCGGTGGTTCATTCTCTTCATTCTCACTGGTATCTAATTCTTCCTGTGATTCTGTTCTATCTCCTTCTTTATTTACATCTTCATTCCACTCTTCCACATCTGTCGATTTGTACTGAGCCTGTAATCAATCATGTATCTTATAATGTCTATATTATTCTATATATTACAGTTCTAATAAAAATTAAACTTACAGGTGCTACCTCTTCTAGCAGTGAAATCGTATCCCTTATGACACTATCAATACTATCCAAATTTTCTTTTTCAGTTTCGTTCCTCCATCTATGTTGCAAAATATTCAGAGGCACGTTGTCATCTGCATCATCGAATCTCTCGTTCATAGATGTGGCAGTTGTAGGCATTACATTATTCCAGCATTTAATAATGGTTTGTGGTGTTAGTTTATCCCGAGCAGATGACAAATGAAGAATCGCATCTCGTAATGTAATTTTTTTGAGTGCAGTTCCTATTGATTCCTCACTTGCAGCGACACAACTCAGTAAGCTATTTCTATAGTATAATTTTGTGAGTCTCAGAATATTCTGATCCACTGGCTGGTTCAAAGGAGTTACATTTGGTGGAAGAAACATTACGAAAATCTTGCCATCTGCATTTTTGAGCTCTTCAGCAGATGGATGTGATGGCGCATTATCTAAGAGCAGAACTGCTTTCTGTGGCAAATTCATATTTCGCAAAAACGATTTCACCTAAAAATTAAACTATGCATGTAAAAATCAGAATTAAAAGGCTACTTGCTATAAACAGTTTACCTCCAGTACAAAGTTTTCGAAGAACCAATCCTTAAAAATTTGACCTGTCATCCAGGCGTTTTTTGTGTTTCTGTATATCAAAGGATTTTTGAAATTCCTGAAACATCTTGGAGTTTTTGATTTTCCAATTATTAATGGCTTCAGTTTATGGAGTCCTGAAGCATTTGAACAACCCAAAAAAGTTATCCTCTTTTTCGATGTTTTCATACCAGGAGCAGTTTTTTCATTAATAGAAACATACGTTTTATCAGGCAATAATTGCCAGTATAATCCGGTTTCGTTGGCGTTATACAATTGGTTAGAATTCAAACCATGTTCTCGGATTATTTCTTTAAACTTTTCTTTGAAGGGATAGACGAATTCAGGATTAGAAGATAACTTCTCACCTGTAATTTTCAGAAATCTGACGCCTTGTCTACATTTAAAGCGTTGGAGCCACCCATCACTTGCAGTGAAGGTAGAAATGTTCAAACTCTTACTCAGCATTAATGTCTTTTGTTTAAGCATTTCTCCTGATATTGGTATATTCATCTCTCTTTGCTTCAGGAACCAATTATATAACTGTTTTTCTAATTCTGGATTTTCTGGTTTCTTAAGAGTACATTTCTTTGATGGCTTCAACGTATTGCTGATTACGTTAATAATTGATTGTTTTTTATTTTTAAGAGAACAAAGAGTCGATTTTGCTATCCCGTATTTTCTAGATAAAGCACTAACAGTCATTCCTTTATCATGTTCTTCTAAAATTCGCGCCTTTTCACTCAAAAGACAAACACTTTCTTTGTATCTTCGGCATTTGTAAAATGTATGTGCGAACAATATTTAATAACCAGCACTACACGCTCCCTGCTATCGTTATAGACTGATAGAATCTGACAATTTGATTACGTGGCGGCGAGGTGAGACGGGACGAGAATAGGCGCGAACTGCGCAAATGCGAGCTGTTCACGTTATCGGGGGTGCACGTTGTTCACAGTATACGGCGTTCAGTGTATTAACATCTCATGTTCACGTTATTGACATGTTCATATTATCACATGTTCACATTATCGAAATTGTACTGTAGTTGTAGTAAAAAAATGTTTCCTATTTCCTATTCCACTTTGGCATTATATTTTAGAAACATTCTCACATACGTGAAGCAACACATTCTTAATTTACTCAAGAAGATCTTATATATCAGGCGTCACAGGATCAAATTCTAATTAGAATTTGTATTCATACAAAATGATAACAATTTAAACTGTATTATCTATGCATGCGACATATATTATCTAAACTTGAAATTTTATCAGAGAACCATGAAAAATGATACTTCCAAGTATAATGATCTCCTTTATATTTCTGCTGTCAATTTGTATTTTTACTTTACAACTATTATCTCATATTACTATTACCTCATACTTCCGTCCAAATACATTGGCAGATTCAATTAATAGAAATTCGACCGCACAATCGGCCTATTTATAAAAACTGTCCACAACATTAACATCACAATCTGTGTGCAACATTTTTACACGCAAATTTCTAGGAAATCTACTTGTAAAATTTCATGTTAATTGTATCAAGATAAATTAATTATACAGGGTGATTTACAAACGGTGACCAAAAATTAAACCTCGTATTCTTTGGTGAATTTTAAGGAGAGTCTTCCGTATAAAGTTTTTATCTAGGACGCTTTGTTAAAATTTAAAAACTAGTAAGTGAAATAATTTGAAATTGGGCACATGTATTTATGTAAACATTGTCCAAAATCTCAGGCCTTTTCCTAAAATTTAGATGCTTCAATGGCGGAGATACAGGGTATCAGCAGCTTATTTTTCTAAATAACATAGTACGCCACTGATTTACGGTAACAATCATGATATTTTCGTATTCGTTTTTCAATTTTATACAAATTACTTGTTTTTCGAAAAAAGCCTGATTTTCGAATAAATCTTAAAAAACGAACTGAAAACACTTCTACTTAAATGAAATGACAAACACTAATCATTCGGTTATTTATTCGAATAAAAAAATTAATGACATTAGTCATAATTTTAATGATTCTTTGAGTAAATGCTCAAAAAGACCTCCATTTTCACGAACACAGGCGCGACATCTTTTTAGTAAATTTATTGTTGCTTGAATTTGATGAAAAGAATTATTTCTTCTTTCCTCTAACTGCTCAAAATATCAAAATTACTATGGCAGCCTAGTATGTAGTTTTAAACCGCATTTTATTCGAATATCGAAGTGTTTTCAGTTCGTTTTTTAAGTTTTACTCGAAAATCGGGCTTTTTTCGAACAACATAAGAGTAGTAATTTGTAGAAAATTAAAAGACGAATCCGAAAATATCATGACTGTTACCGTAAATCAGTGGCGTTCTATTGCATTTAGAAAAATATGAGACTGATACCCTGTATCTCTGCCACTGGAGCATCTAAATTTTAAGAAAATGACTCAGATTTTGGACAATGTTTACATAAATACTTGTGCCCAATTTCACTTACCAGTTTTTAAATTATTTCAAAAAATTAAAAATATTTTTTTAAGTTGAACACCCTGTATCTTTTTAACGTAGCGTCCTAGATAAAAACTTTATAAGAAAGATTCACCAATGAATATGAGGTCTCATTTTTGGAATGAATGTGAATCAGTCTGTATACGCACGAAACGAACCAAACCTTGAAAAATTTTACATCAATACACGCAAAACGGAAAAATACCCTGGGCTCGACTTTTTAATTAACATTCAGAATCAGTATAAGTAATATGTAATAGTCCAGTGTTAATTACCTCTCTAGGTGGTCATGAAATAGCCAAATTTATCTTCCAATTTTTTTTTCATAAACTTCGTCCAGTATATACGAGTATAGTTCGCTTGATTCGAGGCTAATGGAAAATTTTATTGACTTGTTGAAAGTAAGACAGTGAAAAGAACATAAATATGTACGACTTTGATGGATATTTATTCCCGAATATAGGTTAATTACTTGCTAATTGTTTTGAATTATTTTTTATCGAGGTTATGCAATATTTACGAGTAAGCTATATACTGAGAATGTACAAAGAATACTACATTTTTCTAGAAATCTGGTAAAATTTTCTAGTATCTAAAACCATGTCCTTATTCTTATAATAAAGGTTGTATTTTTGCAACAAAATATTGTTCTGATCATCATTCCTTACAACCGTTTACTTGTTTACTGTTTTACCGTTTAGTGGATTTTCCAAATCCATTCCTCTTTTATTTTAAAGATGGTGTTTCGAATTGCATAAGTCAAACTTTACTTGTGATAGAACTCCTTAAAATAAGAAAGGTATATCTCATAAATATGAGTTGGGAAATGCTTAAGGGGTTACGTGGATTTGGAAATTTCAAATAATCCATTTTTAAAATTTTTTTTATCTAATAACTCCTGTTAAGAATATTTCCCAAAGTTTCAAACCGTTTCAAATCAATCGATGTAAAACTTTAAGAGAGAGCCTTTTGAAATTCCTCTCATTAGACGCCGTACGGGAGCGTACAAGTATATAGAGGCAGCTGCTTATCTATTGTTTGTCTGTCTTTCTCGCTAGCTTCTCTTTATTTTTAAGAGTTACTTTTATTAAATATTTTAGTTTTATGGAGCTGAAACCAACGAAAAAAAATCCGTTTTATTCCTTCCTAAAACCTTAATTATAATCGCTTTTTCTCAAAACTCTATTTTGAAGACTGTGGACACGATTTCTCAAAAACTAATAGACCGATCTTAATGAAATTTCGCACTCTTCTAGATAGGATTGACTAGTGATTGAACGAAGTTTTTTTTTTTTCGTTAATTACAACAAATTTTACAATGCAATAAATGGTGTAAATTTTACTGATTATTGTAATTTTTTGTATACTACGCCAAAAATTTAAATGTCATTTTTTTAATCCTTCGTTCAATCACGAGCTATACTCACCTACTAATAGAAGCTAACATGAGTTACATTAACCACCGCCAGAATATTTTTTCTCAGGGGTCTTCGAAAACCACGTCCCAGCGGATGAATTTTAAATAAAAATTTTATAAAATATTGTTTAATGTTACTCTTTTATATGCTTAAAAGTTTGAATAAAAGAATTCTTTTATATAAAAAAAAATTAGTTGAATTTCTGAAAATGTCTTTTTAGTATGTATTTAAAACCCCTAAAGATATACAAAAGAGGATTTAAAGACGTACTTCAGTTTTTATCCTTGATATCAATCATTTAGGGGCATGTAAATTCGAGAGAAATAAAAATTTTTCTCATCTTTCCAGCTACGCCATTTTGTCACCAAAAATTAAACATTCCGATTTTTTACATAAAAACCATTTCGCATTAATTGTTGCCTGGTGAATTACAATTTTCAAATGTTATTTTCTTCATTTGTAAATGGATAATTTTAAATAAAAAGTTTTTTTTCTGTGAAGTACATCCAAACCTGTAGTCTTAACAGAAAAAAAGTATTATAGTTTGCTATTATATTTAGTAATAATAATAATAATACGCGTGGAATAAGAGGATTTACCTGTATCCGAAATCACTTCGTTTGGCAGCTAGATGGCTTTAAAATTCCTGAAATGACTTAATTTTTTAATTAATTCTAATGCGCGTTAGCTGATTTTGATAATTTTTGCTTTCAGTTGTGTCCATATACTAAATTGAAATATGATCAGTCTATTTCAATATTTTTTCTTACATAAATTATCGCAAAATTAAAAATAATTCCCATCAAACATAAACATATTATATTTTAATTTTACCTAACCAGGTACGCTAATTATTTTCAAATTTGGAATGTGGGATTAAATTTTAATTATGGGTTTACAAATGGTTTGACATTTTATACGATTAGCCATTTCGCCTACATAGAAAATATTTTTGTATTTTTTAAATAAAAATATTTCTTTTTAACCAAACAACCACAATACCGATTAGTTTTTTTATTTTATTATTTTTTTTATTTAAGCTCAAAAATGGTTTGTTCGACATCTAGGGTTACGACGTTAGAAACACCGTTTTAAACTTTTTGATAAGAATAACTTTTCCAAAAAATTAAAAGTACGAAATATTTTAAAGAAATTTTTTGAAAACAAATAGGAGACTTGCTGCAGCACTATGCACTAAATCCAAATGGCGGATTTTTATTTTGATAGCCAAGTAAAGATATCCCACAAAATTATATGGCAAACGAAATAAAAAGTACGTAACATATTAAAATAAAATTTAAGCAAGTTTAGTTAATAAATTGTATAGACTGCAAAGTCGAAAAAAAAAAACAGGAAACCTTGAATTTTCAATTCTTTCAGAATTTGCAAAAATATTCGGATTCAGATACTCGAAACAAATTTCAACATAAACACAAACTAAAAAACTGAGCTCAGAAAAAACATTTTTTACAAATTAGTACTTTGAGCAAAAATGATCAGTAACAGGGTTGATCAGAGTCACTTTAAGTCATTAACAAAAGTAATGACACGAATACAGAGAATGTTTCGAAACGTAAAATGTAGAATGTAACAGTAATGATCATTTTGTAGTAAAGAATTATCTACTTTCTCAGTAAAGTGTAGTATGAGATATTTCTGTTGAGGCAAAATTAAATTTACAAAATCGACACTGATCTTTTTGACACAAAGGCCAAGGCCGGATTAACCTATAGTGAGTCCCGGGCAAAAAGATACAGGTTTTTGTTTGATTCTAAAAAAGGTCGCAATCAGGAACTTGTCGATATAAAATTTCAAAACCTAAACACTTGGTTTGATTCTTAAAAAAAAAGCTAAAATTCATTTTGCCAGTTGCTATTTTTAATGTGACAAAAAACCCAATTAAATAGCATAATACACTATCCATTTCAATCTATTTATTTTATTTTTCGAAAATTTCACTTGGTCAACCCTATTTTTTTTCATTCCTAATCCAGAATATTAGTAAATACTAAATGGAATATGATGGAGATCCTTATAAAGTCATCATTAGAAAAATAGTTTCTTCAGTGCCAGTTTACTGCGTAGGTAATAACGTGTCCACATAACATTTGCCGTAAACGCGTGATTTTTTGCTGGGCAACTTGAAGTATGTGTTTATAAATACTTAATAAACGCCTAACATATTTAATGAAGATAATTACGTTAATTATACATAAAACAATAATTTCAGTACAAACATTACAGGTCGGTTCATTTCCTCAGGCGAAACAAACACGCTGTGACGTAATACATTATTTGTTGTCCGTGTAAAAAAGGCCACATCCGCAAATGCAGGTAGGACTATAATCGATAAAGTCGTGGTCAATAGAAACGACCTGAGATATTTAATGAAATATTTGGAAATTATTATTTAACATTAAATAGTTTAAATAAAAAATTTTGATCCGTGATTAGGAACTTAGGAAAATAAAAAAATGTAAATATAAAAGAATACATTATGTATATACAAAAAGTTAAAAAAACGAAAAACAACGCAGAAAAATACAAAAGAACCTTAAGAACGGTAATAATTTTATTACATAATATTTTCAGATCAGTTATTTATCTAGGAAAAACCACAGCATCAACCACAAATAAGCGCCGTCAAATTGGTAAAATGAGCGATGATGTACATAAGTTCTACTAATTTTTCGTGAATTAGTGTAATAAACCAGTTCTGGGAACCTTTCGGGCACTGGAAACCCGAGAAGCATATATAAATGGGCTGCCACAATATTTCTAAAGAAAACAAAAATTCAGTGAAATGCCGTTGCTAGTACAAACAAGGTCAGACATGCGGGATGTTTGTAAATTATGATGTCAAAGTGAAACGCGAGAGAACATATTATCATTTCGTTAAAAAAACTATTTGTGTTATTAACTATGACTTCTAAATATAACATGATAAAGGACTTTATTGACTGTATTAATCTCATGCTATATACAGGGTGTAACAGTAACAGTGATGTTTGATAAACTAAGAAGCAATTTCGAAAAAAAAAAGTATTATACCTTTTTGCTTCGTTCAAAATATTTATGACACACTCGACAAAAAAAAATAACACACACATTTTGAAGCTTGAAGATTCTAGTTTTGAAATCTTGATGAAAATTTTTTTTCTATGTGCAATCAAAAGAAATAATGCAAGGCAAAAAAAATGGATCAATAAATCATATAGCGATGAATTCATGAAAAATGAATAAAGAGTCACTTGGGAGTATAACTAAAATTAATGCAATTAATTTCAACTCAATATACGTCATGCGAAGAAAAAATCGCGTCAAAACTGAACAGGAAATAATTCAGTATAATTTTTTGAATATTTTAAAATTTCGAATTTTTTTTTATATTCTAAAAGATATTTTTTTCGACATTTGAAATATTCAATGTGAAATTATAACAAAGATAAGCCCACAATTTTTTTTTAAATTTTGATTTTTTTTCAAAACTGATTTTTTTTTGTCGATATTTGACGAGTATTTAACGCAAAATTGTGAGAAAAATTACGCAATTTTTTAATTTATTTTATTTATTTTTACTTTTAATTGATTTTTAAGAAGCAATAAACCTGCTCCTTTAATTTTGTATAAAACTGATGATTCGGGAAAGGAATACGGTTCGACAGATAAATTTCAAATTTTACAGGCCTTATGGGCATGTATTGAGCTAAAATAAAACCTATAAACATTGGTACCTACTTTTCGCAAAATTGTAAAATAGAAAGTAACCGTTAATTTACCAAAACAGCAGAAAAAGTCATTTTTTGCAATATTTCAAATAATACTAAGTACATATAAAAAAAATAATCTCAAAAGGACCTTAAAGGAGATTGATTCATGTTTCCAAAACCCACTGTACAATGATTAGTTGAGAGATGAGATATCGATGATCCAAAAAAAAAGATGACTTTTCACTCAATAGCCGATATCTCAATGAGAAAAAATCTTAAAGAAAATTTAAAAAAACTAAATTGAAGCTGAGGAGTCAAGCTAAATGACCCCGGCATTTGTTATAAAAAAATCGTACTATTTTTGCCTTGTATTATTTCTTTTGACTGCGCCGAGAGTGATTTTTCATCTCTAGATTTCAAAACTAGTATCTTCAAGCTTTAAGAGCTTTTTATTTTCTCAATACGACTATTATTCACGAAGATACAGCCTTTCAAAAATCACCAAAAAAATTTGGAACTTTTTCTGCTCCCTTAATTTTTTTGCTGAGTTTATATGTGAGACGAAGTATAGTCTTTCCGATATCAATTGAAGAACCAACAGATTGACAGTATGTACCAGGTTCGGTCGCTGACGCAGTAACTCGGCATTGAAATATTTGAAAAACTTGTTCCAATATTTATTTAGCCATACCCATATACAGGTCTGGTCGAACTTAACGTGAAGGTGGTAGAAATGTATACGACCTGTTGAATAATGCGAGCGCGGGCAAAGGAAAACAAAGACAGTTGCATTGGGCTACTGGGCAATAAATCTCAGCAGTTGACAAGTGGTTGATAAATTGCCCAGCAGTGCAGTGCAGTGCAGCAATGCGGAATTTGGTGTGATTCAGGTAATTTTAATTTATTATAGGCACCTTTTATCAACCATTCATATTACTATATATTTTGTTTACTAATATTATCACAATATGGCATTTTGAAGACCTTTTGAAACGAAACAAAACGAAATTTAACACCAATATAATAAAATTGTTTGAGGACATAAATAATTAAAATATGTTGTTGGCCAAATGAACATATAATAGAAATTTTCTACACATAGTCCAGGCGGTATCTGTTTCGGGTTGGGTAAAACGCATATGATCGGAGATTTTTGCTTTAACGGCTTCTAAATAACATCAGAAATTATAATATTTCTATGCAAATTAAAAAAAACGTGGGCTTAATTGTTATTGCAAAAAAGTATTAAGAAAATGGCAAAAAAATTCATTTTTTTCTTGGATTTCTTGTCGACAACTTAGCAACTATTAATTTTAGACAAAAATGGAAGAGGAAAAAAGTTTTGTAATTAAATTTTAATCAGGATAGAGTTAGTTGTAATTCGAAAAAATAATTATTGTTATTGCAAAAATCGGAAAAATCATTTAAAAAATTGCAAAAATGCTAGTTTATTTGCCAATTTTTTTCAGACACTTGAATAATACCTAGGATCTTCATACTTTACCCAATTAAACTTCTTAGTGCATAGAATCATCACACCAAATTTCATCCAATTCGGTTCGATAGTTTTTACATAATAGGTACCTAATTGTTCAATTTTTTTTTAATTAAAAAATTTTCAAAATCAAATTTCTAAAAATCTAAAGCCTTTGAATACTTGAAAATTTCACCACAAAAAGAACAGCTCTCAAGCTTTAAAATGGTTTTTGAAAAATTCAAATCGGAGCCGTGGTGATTGTTTAAACATTTTCGCAATTTTCACGTTTATAAACAATCGCAGTAATTTAATGTTTTTTTAATTTTTTTTTAATTTCAAAATATGGTTTGAAAGTACTCGGAAAGACAAGTAGGTATTTTAAAAAAATACCTGATGATCCGCCCATTATTTTCGGAGTTATAGCCCGTTAAAGTTAACCCTTATTTACAGCAAAACTATAAGGGTATAAGGGCTGTTTGTCATTCCGAGTACTTTCCAGATAAATTTTCAAAATTTGCAATCACGGGTGTCCCATTTAAAATGTCACTCAAAGATATTCAAGACCGCGTGAAATCAATGAAATATCAGTGGTGGTGGGAGCAATTTGCGACTTTTGATATTTTTTTTTACAAAAAATAAATCCTTGTTTTCAACATTGAACATTATTTGGAACTGCATATTTGTGAGTTTCATAAAAAGTTATGAATAGCTATAAGCATTTTTGTAAAGAAAAGATCACAAACCGGTCAACTACCTGAGGCAACATCCTAAAATGATTTTCACTTGCAAAACCGGTGAATTTGCAAAAATGACAAGTTTTATTGTTTTCTATCAATCAAGTCAACCTACTCGTAATGCTAATGTGATTGAATCATGATTACAGTTTCCAAAAAAAAAAAAGTATTTTTGCCTACTTACCACTTCTTACAGGGCTCGTGACGTTCTCGATCGACATACTGCTCGTGCGCACGGTCAGCCATCCCGGCCGCTTCCGTTCGTCCTTGGGCGGCGACTCGCGCTCCTCCTTCAGCGGCGGCGTCTCGAAGTTGGTCCTGGGGCTGGGGCCCGTCACCGACAAATGCCTAGGCCGAGGCGGCTGCGGGGAGGCACTGCGCCCCAGCTGCGGTAGACTAGGGGAAGCGCGCCCCCCGGGGAAGGTAGCGTTCCGTTTGTGGCGGCGAGGAAACACCGCAAGCAGCTCCGCCCACCAGCGAGCATCCTCTCGGCTGGCAGCCTTCACGAAGGTGACGCGGTCGGGGCTGGTAAGGGCCAACGAATGGGGGTGGCCGGTGACCTGTTCGGCTCCAGTCACCTCGAGCACCTTACACATGTCCACGCATCCTTGAGGAACTGTATCCGGCTGAAACAACACTTGATATCAGAGTTTTTAAGAAGCCTTATTGTTTTCTCAGATTTTCAATGCAGTAGGTATATATTTAAACTTCGAACGGTTCTAATCGAACAGTATCTATTGTAGGATCGTATTCGATGCAAAATAGAGCAAAAAATTGTCGGTCTTTTATGAAAGGAAAAAATGAAATTGAATGTAAAATCTGAAATATCGCATCATACGCATTGTGTTTTAGTAGTAGCTGTACTCGCCCAGGTGTATCGAGTATACGAACGGTCGGTTATACGTTAAATATTAACCTGGTGAGCTTGGTCGTAAATCAGAGACCGCCTCCAAAAAACAAGTAAACAACAATGGCGCGTACAGAAAAATGTAGCACATTATGTGGAATTTAAAAAACAAATTGGATTTATAATAAATTACATTTAAAATAAATAGTTTATGAGAACAAAGGAACTTTTGTAGGAATAGGGGTGCCAGACGTGAACTGATCCCTTCATCCCTTCATAATGCATAACGAAATTATTCAATTTCTAAACCCCTTAAAACCGTACTGCAATTAAACATTTAAGTCGAATGCCAAATACATATACAAACAATGCTGATATACTAAACCTATTAACACAAAATCGGATTTTCAAGGATGTATCTTTGAACCACGGACACCATTGCACCCGGAAGAGGAATCAAATCAAACCTACTAGACTTTATGTTTTTGGGCATGTTCTTTGAGATGCCCACAAAATTTGAAAAAAAAAATCATTCAGACCACGAAAACGGACTTCAAATTTGAAAAACAGTGCTTTTCAAGACTATCGTTAAGGTACGTGCCTAAAACCAATGATTTAGTTAGTTACTTGATGATTCAGAAAATGGTGAAATCAGAATTTTGTGACGGTTTTACTCAAAAAAGGCGAATTTTGTTGGAAAATTTCAAGAAATAAAAAAGTTTATAATTAGTCAAAAAACACATTGGAATTTTTCCAGAAGTTTTTGTGCCATTTTTTCAAATTTTTGGAGTTATCCAGTTTATATCCATATTTACAGTCCAGGAAATGACAAATTTCAGGCAAAGGAACGAATTCCATGGTAACGAAAACATTCAAAATCGAAAATAGGAATGGTTACAATTTTTCAAGATGTTATTTCAACGAAATTTTTTATTTTGACCAAATTTTAGACAGTATTCGAGAGATGAAAATGATAAAACTATTCAGAATCCAAAAAGAAAGATTCAGGAATGTATCCTCGTTTCTTCAAACATGGTCCAAAAAAATCTGGTAAAATTCGGACGTGTTGTTTGACCAATTCTGACTTTTCTTTTTTTTTTTAAGGAAACCCACCTTTTTCTAGTAAAACCGTCATAAAAATCTGATGCCACCATTTTCGGGTTCAGCCACCATTTTGGTTCTTTAAATTACTAAATCGATACGCACATGATAAATCCTTTAAGTTGAGAGCTTTTATGCACCGTTCTCATTGGTTTTAGACACGTACCTTAGTGATAAAGTTTGCAAATCAAAATATAAAGATTGAAAATAGGAAAAAATTTAGGTGTTTTTTAACATGGCAGTCCATTTTCGTAACCTAAATGATTTTTTTTAATTCTGTGGGCACTATCTGAAAAAACATAAAGTCTAGTAGGTTTGATTTGCTTCCTCGCCCGGGTAGAATGGTGCCCGTAGTTCAAAGATACGCCCTCGAAAATACGATGTTGAGTGTTAATGGGTTAAATAATGGGTTAAACAAATGCCGTTACAAAAACCAAAACATTTGCCCGTAAACAAAACCAAACGTTAATGAAATGTTTTTTTTGCTTGCCCCTGAACAAAAGTTTAAGATGAGAAATACATAGACATTTCGAAAAATATATTCCGTAGTGAAGCAGCTATAAGAATAGGAAATTATGACTTATGACATATTGGTTGTTTTGTTTTAAGTTTGCTACCGATTTAACAACCATCCTCGCAAGAAATTGGATCATTTTAATTACTTGTTATAAAAACCGTCAATAACAGAAAAATTAAGAGAGATAGGTAGAGGGAAGTGTATAGATAGAGGGTACAATTCTGCAATAGTTTTTGATTAAACATACGGGGTGTTTCATTTAGAAAAACCAAGTTTTGGCTGTTCGAAGTTAAGCAAATCCGACAATAATTTTTATCACTCTGTGTATAAAATTAAACAGTTTTTAAAATAACGAGTAACAAAGAATAAGCATCCCCTTATTTCTCTTTCAAATATCAATAGTTCAGCTTGCACGATGTAAAAAATAGGCATTTTTAGGCTATCGAAAAACAACTTTTTTTTTAAAGAATTGAAATATCTCGAAGACCATTAGAGACATAGGGGAATTTGATAAAAGTCCATTTAAAATAAGCAAGTGGATGGCGACTTCCGGTATAACCGGAAGTGCTACAACAATGGCATTATTTTATTTAAAGTGAGCAGCCCCGAAAACACAAGACCCAAAATTTTCAAAATAATAGGCCGTTACCGCAATAGTAATAAAAAAACAAAATTAACTGAGTAAGAAAAATAAAATTTATAAATATAAAAAATTAATTTGATAAATTACAATATTTTAAAACAAAGCACTAGACATGAATTTATTCCATAGTACGAGTATACCTATACACTTATATGAAAATCAACCAATAAATTCCAATTAATTGGAAAACGTAAATTTTCCTGTTTTCTAAATTTGTACTCTTTGATTACTATTTTTCCCATTGAAGATAATAAACAAAAGTTTTAAATACAAACTTTTGCCTGCAAACAACCACTATGGACTTATTTGCTCACAAAGACAAACTCAAAATATTGAAATTCTAAATTTTGTTTGTTGTTTATATGGATACAAATGAACCGATCTTTTCAATTAATGTGTGAATGAAGTGAATGGCCAGTCTCAAAAAATTTCAGAATTCAGTATCAATTATTTTCAACTTTCTGCAAAGATTTTCAGAATCTTGAAAAATGTGATCATCCAATGGTTCTAACTTCACCTTCTTAAATTCAGAGAAATATAGGTATATTGTAAAAATTCCTATAGTCGCGTCACTTTAAAATACATTCTTTGAAATATTGAAAACGAATTTTGTGACGTGACAGACTATTTTTGCTCTTAAACTTTTGTCCATGGGCAATAAAAAAGTTTCATTAGCGTTGGGTTTGGATTACGGGCAAATACTTCTATTTTTGCATCGGGCATTTGTTTAAGAACATTTGTATAAAAAAAAATCGATGGCTGATTTGGACTAACTAGGATTAATAATTTGAAAATCGAACTATCTGCAGAAACAAATTGTGTCCGAAGATTGAGCGTCCATTGTCTAGGTCTACATACGAGGCAGTCAAATAGAAATTTCAGGGTACATACAGTAAAACTAAAAACACTTCATCATTTATTGACATTGACCAAATTTATTCACGATTGGTTTACTTCAAAGTCACTGAGATGAAACTAATCGCATTTGACGTCGAAATTTGGTCTGTCAATTGTAAAATCAATTTTGCAGGATGATTTCTTCTTTTTTTTTACTACAACAAAGGTACCAGTTATAATGTGTTGAATTTGGGACGCTGTGTACCAAAAAAGTTTCAGATATTCACTATTCATTGGCAACAAAATTGTCAAATATCATATAACTATATTAATTTCACAGTAATTACCGTTAAAACCTAAAGTTTCCATTAAAATTAAAGATTAAGTTAATTGTTTTTATATTACCTTTGCTTTGAGCATCAATGATGACGTAAAATTGTTAAAGCATTTATACGTGTGATAAGAAGTTCAAATATTTACTGTATGTGTTTTGGCTCTTATTTTTATCTGACAAGTTAGGTTTACCTTACTTTGACGGATAGAGTATACGTAATGGATAACAGATTAAAGGAATGCTGCAAGCATTAACATTATGTTGTAATGGTCTAATCTACGCAGCTCAAAATAATAAATTAATTTTTATATTTGGAAAGCCTTAATCCAAGCTGCGACATGAGATTTATAAATTTTTAAAGTTTATTACTACCAGAATAAAATAAATTATACGCTAAATTTATTAATGGAATTCATAATGAGTATTAGAAAAAAAATGCATATAAGTTTCATTTATAGCGTCGCATAATAATAATAATAGCCATAGCCATATGGTACCAATGATAAACTGTAAAAATGTGTCTGCATAGACCAAACAGTTTTGGTTACGATAAGAAATGACGTGATTCTTCTTCCTCGATGGTATGGTATTTATACCAGCAATGTTCATTCACCCATATGCAGTTCAAGCTTCTACAGAACATCTAAATTAGAATTAGATCGTTTGGTATCTACAATGATGTTTTCATGTATTAAATTACTATGGCCTATTGGCTAAATTGCTACACCTCTGAAATTATAAGGATACCTTAATCAAAGCTATGTGAAGTTAACATCGAACTTTAGATAATCGAAGTTTTCTTTACATGCAATTAGTTGTACCCGTTTAGTACCAGTTTTATACCACTCTTATTTAAATTTGTACTTCAAACCGTAAGGGATGAGGGATGAATAATTACAGTACTTAAGTAATTGTACATAGAAGTATGGTAGATTTGTGACTTTAAAATATTACGATTTGAGCCAACTTGCCTTAATAAAATATTGATAATAAGAAATATACAGGGTGTTAAAAGTGAAATTTCGAAATTTATTTTTCGCAATAACGTTTTTGGACATTTATACAAAAAAAATTTTAACTGGGGGTTTTTTGGAATGAGAAATCATAATTTGGTATATAATTTAATGTATCTTTTAGAGGGCGCCACATAAGCCACATGTGGCATAAATGTGCGCAAAACTTTTTTGCCCATCAAGGTAGCGCTCTTTTGGGAAGAAAATATTAAAGGCACGGCATTGTAAGAACAAAAATGTATACTTGTTAACAACCTGTAAACTTAACGGTTTTCGAGATAATCGAATTTTAAAAATCGGCTGCATAATTCTTTAATTCATTACGAGAAATAGT